AGACGTAGAAAGTATAAAAGAAGTGCTCCAGGCTACCTTCATAATATTTAAAAGCTTCGTGTGTCATTGATTGCACGCCATAATCATATTGTTTAAAGTAAGAAAGCCATAATCAATCTTTGTTTCCCAGTCCACCGAGCATTCTAAATAAAGTGTCCTTCTGAAAGTGACAGCCTATATTTCATATTTCCAATATAATAGACACAGAAAACAAAGAACACAGTGTTGAGTGCAGGTGAAAAACAGAAAACATCAGAGGAACTGCTACAGAATCTAGTAAAGGAAGGCGAGAAGAAAGGAGCAAACATCAATAAGAAGACAAAATATATGGATGTCAATAAAAGAAACAAAACAAAATACGAATTATCAAATGAAGATATCAAATATCCATCAAGGACCTGAAATTAAATAGCTAGCAAGTGTTTTAACAGAAGCGCTTTGGTATAGCGAACGAAATCATTCAATAGCTATATAATAGAACCCCTTATATCCGGAATCCCTCATATCCGGAGTCCCTCATATCCGGAGTCCCTCATATCCGGACATGATTTTGATGTCTATATTTAGACTATTTGGGTGATATGTAACTGATTGGAAATTTCTGTTTTTCAGGAAATTTATTTTGAATAATTGCTTATGAGACCCATCTGCAACAAGATAACGACGAGATGCATGATTGTGATTAAATCTGGACTGAAATTGAAAAAGCTATTGAAAAGTTTGTCGGTTTCATGGAAAGAAAGCCAGCATTTAGCTATGACGATTGGAAGAACGCACGCAGAATTAAAAAAAAAAGTGCCTTTCTTTAAAAAGTTTCAATAACAAAACAAAAACAAAATGCGAAAGAAGTTGAGGATGGCATTAGAAGAAAAAGAATAATCATGCAACAGCGATTAAAAAACATACGTGGCATACTTAATTTAATGAATTTTTATTAACATCACATAATTCATTTCTTTTTCCTTAAAATCAATTCCGTTATATTTCACTCACTATTGTCTTATTTGCTTTACTATAAAGCATTGAAAGTAAATGTTAAACCTGATTTCAGTTCTTTTATTTTAATCTAAATATAACCCTTTAAATCCGGACTGTTTTAACCAATTCCTCGTATCCGCAAGGCCTTCTTAGTCCGGTTGTCAGGTATTCTATTGTATTTCTAATTCATTCTATGCGACAGCCACGAGAACAATATTATTTAAAACCATGAATCGATAATGGGGTGAATTGCCTAAAGTACTGAATAAGCTCTGTTCTGGGTGAGAAGATGTTCTTACTCTCAGCAACTCCTCTATTTTGATATATTCATATAACAGCATTCGTCGTTCTTTCTGCTGTCTGAAATAACTTGTATCACAGACACAAAAAAATAAATAAATAAATAAAATAAAATAAAACATTAGTAACATCACAAGTGTAACTGTTCGTATCTGTTTTTCTTTGTGGGCATGATATATAATTTTATATCCTTTTGTAAGAAAAAAAAAGAAAATAAAAAATAAAATAAATAAAATTGTAAATATCCAGAAAATTTTATATCATAGGTTTTTCGCTGTATGTGGTATTTTGGTAAATGTAAGAGTGGGTGAAGAGGGATGTGTTCGTGTGGTGAGTAAATTGTAATGAAACCGTGCGAATCGGATTAGTGAGGTTTAGGAGAGTCAGTAACGTCTAGTCTCACCCATTCTATCTTTCGGCCTTGTGTTAAAATTGTACTTACATTACATGAAATACACTGTTTTCCTTTGTGGGCAGCAAAGAATATATACCTCTGGACAAAATTTTGGGACACGTGTAGAAAAGTTAAAAATATGATTATAACTCGTAAATATATTAACTGAAAACTTTATAAGAAGCACTGTTGAATTGATGTTTCACTGGCATTCAAGGGTGCCAATAGTGGTTTGTGTTCATTTTTTGCTTTATTATCATTAGTTGCAAATCACTTATTTGAAATTTAAACTCTAGTTCTAAAATGTATATTTTTCTATTTTTTAGTAACACGTTTAGTATCAATGAATAACTGTTTCTTCTTTTTTGAAAATGTATCCGAAGAAAAGCATTCCTGGAACTAAAAGGGCTGAAATCATTCCATTGTTCAAAGAAGGGCTATCCCCAGTCAAAATTGCAAGAAAAGTGAAATTCTCAAGAAATGGTGCACAAACAACCATTAAAAGAAATAACGAAACCAGTTCTTTCAGAAATAGTGATGATCAAGGATGGAAAATGTGTACAACCTCAAGGGAAGAAAGACTGCTAAAAAGGGCATCTCTAGGTGATAAGAAAAAAAATTCTTCTAATGTGACTGCTGAATTTCGAAAATTTCTAGAAAAATATTGCTGTTTGACGCTAATAAAAAAGAGGCTTTATTTGACAAAATAGTATGAAATCTGGACAGCTGAGGATTGAGACAAATTTATCTGGTCTGATGAAAGCAACTTTGAATTAAGTTCCTTTATTAGTTGAAACTAATTTATTGAGCTTAATTGATTTTATTACGCCTATTTATATTGTATTTTAATTGAATAGAAAATTATCCCTAACATTTTTTATTTTATCAGATTTTTGGAATATCTGGCGTAGTTTATATTAGTCGAGGAGTTGGGAAGCATATGATGCTAAATGCATTGTCCCGGAGGGTAATGGTTTGGGACACATGTCTTCACATGTGAACGATTTCCTACACTTACACAAGTCTTTTGTCTATATCTATGTGTATGGAAATATGTATGACTGTAGGTTTAAATGTGAATGTGTGTCCTTGTTCATCATTTGGACATTTTGATTGGTGACGAGTGTAGAAATATCACGTGCGGTTTGTGTCATAAGATGAAGATGACTGTTATCGAAAGATGATTTTACGGACAGCAGCAGATACAAAACAAAGGAGACTGGGATATTGGTAGTGAAGGAAAGCGACTCGCAAGAGTTAACTTTCACCAAAACAAAAGACAAGCTCTATCTTCTTGTTTTCACGTGGTAATAAACTGAGAAATTATTGTTATCAGACTATTGACTGTAGTTACATTATATATTTGTATTAAGCAAACGAACGCAATTGATTTTCAGTCCTATCCTAAAAGGTCGTTGTTATCTAAATACAATCATTAAAACGAATATTCTTTCCTACAATAACATTATTTTATTTCTTAACTTAAACCATAAGTTTGGAGAAACGATCTTGATGTAAATAATAGGAAGAAAATAGAAGAGCAGAAAACAAAGGTGTAAACATCAACCAAAAGAAGACAATATATGGTTGCCAGCAAAAGAAACGGCCCAAAATACGAATTACTATTTGCAAATATAATAATTAAACAAAACTGAAGACGCATAGGGGGAGAGAAATATGCCCTCCAAAACCTAAGCAAAGTATTAATAAACAAGAAAATCCCAGTGGAAACGAAGAAGAGTGTACTGAACTATTATGCAATATCGCTACACCTCTATGACAAAGAAATCGGGACAATATCCACAAATGAAGAAGAAATTTGATCTTTTGTTCTACAGAAGGATGATGTGAATACAATGGACTGAACACGTGAGAAACAATGCAATTTTAGAAAAAATAATACTTATACATAATACCAGGAAGATCACTTGAAATTGCTATTGCTTATAATTAGGAAAGAGGGCTTGGGAAATTTGACACTCACAGGATGTATTAAAGGCAAGAAGGACAAAGAAAGGTAGAGCATACCAACCTTGCGTAAATGGTTAACAGAACAAGGATTGGGATATTTAGCAAAAAGGCAAAACTTAATAAGGGATACAATGGCTAGGAAGGTATGAAAAGCCAGGAGTACTCAAGTCCTGAAGAAGTCCCGCACGTAGAAGAATAATTTTAATAACGTCTTTTGTTTAATTACCTCCTAATCAAGGATACTTAAATTTTCCATTAGTGGATGGCATTCAATTTTTTAAAAAGGTGGTTATCTCAAATTTAAAAATCCAGCGGTTCGAAGGTTAACATTAGGCTGCCACGTAGTTTATGTAAAAAAGGGTTACAAATTAAGAAAACTTTATACAGTAATGGGTTAATTTCCTTCTTTTCATTATTGTTGAATATATGATAAATCTCATGAGGAAGAGAATATCACTCTGGGTCAAATTTAGTGAGTAAATTAGTTTTTAAAAAGTCAAACAATCTTCAGGTTTTCGGCGATTCTTTGCAATCCAGTGGGTGGTTCAAAACTTTGGGACTATAATTTATATATTTCACGTGTATGAAATCATATTTCCCATGAGTCTTTACATCTTTGGCTTTTACTGTTAATCATCATTCTTCAAAACAGCACGTGTAAAACACTCGAGGTGAATGTGAGTTTCATCACTTCTAATTACTAGGATATTAACATGCTCCTGACTAAGACATGGTGTAACGTTTATCTGTCAGTCTATTTATGTACCTGTCCTTCTATCTAGCTAAAATAACGATTCAATTAACACGTATAGCAATTTACGTGTATAAGTAATAGTTATCTAAAAAAAAAAAAAAGAAGAAATAACTTATATCCAGTTTTTATGTCCTGTTTTATTTGCAATGAAGGATTGATAACTAATTAAGATATACATTTTGGAACGTAATATTTATATGAAGTGGACATGAAGCTACTTACATCAAAATGTATTTTCTCTAATTATTAAGATGGACGTATATGGAGCCGAAGTCGACAGCTGATTAATGGAGTTTACATTTGGCTTGGAATGTGTCCAAATCAAATATAAATAATCTGTCTGAATGAATTTCCTGTGATTGACTCAAAAAGAAATATCCTGGCACTGTTAGCCACAATTTCGAAACTAATCAACGTTTCGCTGGCTTATCGTTAAGATCCAGGCCAAGGAGGAAAAATGGAATCAGAGAAGCAGAATCAAATTTCGGCAAACTCATCTTATAGACTCTTTGCCCTCATACCTTTAGGAAAAGCAAGCATTCACGTCTCTCTGTCTCTTCACCATATATCTTAACAATATGAATCTTCTTGACGGAAGATGTCTTACGGCAATACTACGTTGAAACACCAGTTCACGTACGAACACAGAAGTTAAGCAACATCGAGCCTGATCAGTACTTAGATGTATCCCCACTTGAGAATATCAGGTGCTGCAAGCCTGCATGTGCGTGCGGCGTAATAGATAACGACTCGGGAGTGCCGTGTTCAATTCCAGCCGAAGTCGTTATATTTACTTATCCGCAAATATTCTTGTGAAAGGCATGAATCTATCTCCTCTCCAACCTGCTATTGTTTAATTGGTAAGTCTTGTATCAGTAAATCGTTATTATGGCAAACTGTTGTGGTAGGATCCACCTAATTTGCATAGTGGAGTACCGACCATATAAATATGGTTGGTACCGGGAAGAGAGAAAGGAATCAAGAGATTCAACCAGAGACTCTGCCCGACTGCGACTAAGTCAACACATTCTCCAGGAACGGTATTCCCAAGAATATACCAAAAGACTATATGTAAATATTGTGTACACTTTCTTGTTTCAATATATTTTGTTCTAAGTACATTTTGTATTGTATTATTATTCCATGCATTAGTCAAGTTTCAACACTAACTAATCTAAAAAGATTTTCTTACAATCTAAATACATTATCTGGCTTTAAATAACCTCCTTAGGATTGATACACCGTAAAAATCAATCAATAATGACGGAAGAGAGAGTGGGTGGTTGAACATTTGCTCCAAACATAATCCACATCTACCTAGGCAGAAGCAAGAAATCTACTAATATCTATATTTAGAAATGATAAAGTCTCTCATTGAACCATTTATAAATATAATAATTTTTTCGACGGCTCTGAAGTGGTTGGAGGTTGTACTTAAGACCAAAATAAAATACCTTTTCAGTCAGGAAATGTAATACAGTCCAACTTCGGTCCTCGAACGTCTAATATCATACATAATATCTAATATAAAACAAATCGGTTTTCGAACAGAAAATTCGAGATGAAAATGCCTCGGTTGTCGAATAAAATTTCGGTTCACAAAACACCATTGCCGAACACGGAATAATTTCTGAGTCGACCGCTGTGTTGTGGCATGCTTTACTTTTCCAATTTTATTGTACTGTGACCTTTCTTTCTACCTTTATTCCTCTTGGAAAAATAGTTTCGGTTTACGAATATTTCGGGTTACGAACGGCCTTCAGGAATGAATTAAATTCGTGAACCGAGGTTCCACTTTAATTAGAACGTAATTTTCTACTTTGTTAAATCATACATGTTTATACTATTCTTTTACTCAATAGAACATCCAGGAGCCAATAAAATTAGAGGCTTAATCAGTGCAATTTTTGTAAGAATCTAAGAGGAAGAGGTAAGAATTAAATGGATAAGGTTGATCCTTGAATTGAAGAATTTATTTTCCTAATGCTCTCTTTGAAGTCTGTTCCACAATCGAACAGTTTTGGGGAGGAAGCTGACTCAGTTGAACTTTATCCTTATCAATTTAATACGATGGGAATGAAGATGAGTTGAACCTGTGTACGTGAGATGGCGGGACTGAGGTGTAAAGTTTCGTACTGAGGGACTTAAAGTAGGTAGCTCACATGCCATGATAATAACGATAGAGTAGAGAGAGGCTAGCAAAGTTTCGGTAATTGGAAAGATAGCAGTGGAAAAACAACCGCATGTCCTCGAAAACAAAAATTGAATTTTGTTAAGGCAGGAAAATAAATGGTAGGAATATTGAATTTATCGGTTTGACAGATAAAATATTGCATGAGGAATCGGGTATATTCTAGATCTGTGAAAGGAACCTACCACGTTTCCAGCAAACTTAGCGATTATCTCACAAGTCCTATTGATTAACATGAATCGAAGAAAATTTGTAAATTAAGACTACTTATGTCTTAAACATGCTGTAATTTTTGTTTATGCTTTAAAGTATATTCAGGATTACATTAATAAAATATAATGTTCAGTTAAATAGTAGAAGGAGTTTTAAGGCAATGTCAGGATTACATCAATAAAATATAATGTTCAGTTAAATGGTAGAAGGAGTTTTAAGGCAATGTCAGGATTACATCAATAAAATATAATGTTCAGTTAAATGGTAGAAGGAGTTTTAAGGCAATGTCAGGATTACATCAATAAAATATAATGTTCAGTTAAATAGTAGAAGGAGTTTTAAGGCAATGTCAGGATTACATCAATAAAATATACTGTTCAGTTAAATAGTAGAAGGAGTTTTAAGGCAATGTCAGGCTTACATCAATAAAATATAATGTTCAGTTAAATAGTAGAAGGAGTTTTAAGGCAATGTCAGGATTACATCAATAAAATATAATGTTCAGTTAAATGGTAGAAGGAGCTTTAAGGCAATGTCAGGATTACATCAATAAAATATAATGTTCAGTTAAATGGTAGAAGGAGCTTTAAGGCAATGTCAGGATTACATCAATAAAATATAATGTTCAGTTAAATAGTAGAAGGAGTTTTAAGGCAATGTCAGGCTTACATCAATAAAATATAATGTTCAGTTAAATAGTAGAAGGAGCTTTATGGCAATGTCAGGATTACATTAATAAAATATAATGTTCAGTTAAATAGTAGAAGGAGTTTTAAGGCAATGTCAGGATTACATCAATAAAATATAATGTTCAGTTAAATAGTAGAAGGAGTTTTAAGGCAATGTCAGGCTTACATCAATAAAATATAATGTTCAGTTAAATAGTAGAAGGAGTTTTAAGGCAATGTCAGGATTACATCAATAAAATATAATGTTCAGTTAAATGGTAGAAGGAGCTTTAAGGCAATGTCAGGATTACATCAATAAAATATAATGTTCAGTTAAATAGTAGAAGGAGTTTTAAGGCAATGTCAGGCTTACATCAATAAAATATAATGTTCAGTTAAATAGTAGAAGGAGCTTTATGGCTTACAGGATTAAATAAAATATAATGTTCAGTTAAATAGTAGAAGGAGTTTTAAGGCAATGTCAGGATTACATCAATAAAATATAATGTTCAGTTAAATAGTAGAAGGAGTTTTAAGGCAATGTCAGGCTTACATCAATAAAATATAATGTTCAGTTAAATAGTAGAAGGAGTTTTAAGGCAATGTCAGGATTACATCAATAAAATATAATGTTCAGTTAAATAGTAGAAGGAGCTTTATGGCAATGTCAGGATTACATCAATAAAATATAATGTTCAGTTAAATAGTAGAAGGAGTTTTAAGGCAATGTCAGGATTAAAATAAAATATAATGTTCAGTTAAATAGTAGAAGGAGCTTTATGGCAATGTCAGGATTACATCAATAAAATATAATGTTCAGTTAAATAGTAGAAGGAGTTTTAAGGCAATGTCAGGATTACATCAATAAAATATAATGTTCAGTTAAATAGTAGAAGGAGTTTTAAGGCAATGTCAGGATTACATCAATAAAATATAATGTTCAGTTAAATAGTAGAAGGAGCTTTATGGCAATGTCAGGATTACATTAATAAAATATAATGTTCAGTTAAATAGTAGAAGGAGTTTTAAGGCAATGTCAGGATTACATCAGTAAAATATAATGTTCAGTTAAATGGTAGGAGGAATTTAAGACAATGTCAGGATTACATCAATAAAATATGATGTTTCGTTAAATGGTAGAAGGAGCCATGACAAATAACAAGACACGTAATATTTACTAAGTTTAATATAGAACGTATCAAGATATTCATGAATGTAGGGAAAGTTGTTGTATAGATAGGACGTGGCTAAGAATCAAGTATATTCTGGATGCTTGCAAGGAACGAACCATCTTTCCGGTATCATTAGTGATGGATCGTATATCCGAGTACCCCTATTCTTTCAACATGAAATAATCTTAATCACACAGTATGTGAATTATGTTAAAAGGCATGTTTATTCAGAGCGTAGGAGGTCATGACTTTCCTCCGCGTCCTTTTCTTTATAATCAGAAAACTGCCATAGTTTCTTGGGAAAGATAGACAAGTTCTTCCCTGTTTTATTCTGAACGATTTGGAATTCAGCATTTTCTTCTCGTCTACATTATACCACTCCCGTCTATAGAAGCTAGCTTAATCTGCTATAGAAGCTAGCTTAATCTGCGATATAAACCAGAGTAGAAGGCAGGGGGAATTGATTTATACATTTTTCTACGGATACTGGTGTGAAAGTGAGCCTAAAACCCAGGGGTGAATTTGATCTCGGGTCGCCGGTTGCCATGCCGAAAATCGTTACATTATATGCACATACCCCATTTTCGAAATAGATTTTAAGATGAATTAAAACACCAATTTAAACACTAGTTTAAAACCAGTTAAAACAAAAATCATTGTTTTGTCTAACGCACATATCTCAATAGTGGGACACCCACTAAGACACGAACATTAGCAAAGGTTTCAGCGATTAAACTGGTAACTGTAGTTCTGTAGCAGACATCTTTATTACTAATTTTATGATACAAATAAAAACAGGATAAGTTTACCTAGGAAGATAAAATCATATAACCAATCAGATAAAACAAGTATTTTTCTTAGGTATAATAATGTTACGAGCATATAAGTTTTGACTGAAGTAAAAGTTTTATATTTTCTTTATCGTAGTAAGCAAACATCCCTTTGAGGTAATCCTTTGATCTGACTCGATTCTTGCGGGGTGTCTAAGTCAGATTTCAATCATATTACGTTAAGATTACACTACTGATATCGCTAGGCTGATATCAAGTCTTCTACTTTTCTCCAAATTCAAAGAATTATATAATAATAATAATATTTCGATTTCTGCTAAGGTCATACTATCTACTAAGTGTACGGGAAGACCAAAATTCGGTAGTGGTTTGTTTCTATGGCTACATTTCATTATTTGTTATTCTAACTCTCACCACGAGCGATTCATTGATAAAGTTCTTGGTGTGTGGCTTGTAATAATGAAGACATTTGTATTTCTCATAATCTGGGATTTCCATTGATTTTTTAAGTATGGTTGTGTTCCTTTTTTATAATTCCAAGCGCACCTACTATGACTCATAAATTCTTGTTTTCAATTTCCACCTTTTTTTATTTCTATTTCCAGGCCTTTATACTTGGATAGTTTTTCAAATTCCTTGGTTGCTAAATTACAGTTCGTGGGGTAGCCCTTATCTATTAGTAG